CCTTCGCTTCCCTTTCCCTCCCTTCTCTCCTGCTCTCCTGTCCTCCACCCCTCTCCCCACGGGCCAGGTTTTTCATCCCCATCTTCCTCGGAGGAGCTTCTAAATGGATGCTCTTTCTGTCCAGTTCACACAGAGGTAGTGGGTTCACCTCAGACAGACCTTTAGAGGGCTCCCCACTCTCACCCCAGCAAACGGGTGCTGGGTGGGGTGCTGGGTGGGGGGAGGTGGCTCCAAGCACAGGCATTGAACATGGCAGGGTAGAGCCGGTGTCCCCGAGGAAGGAGATGAGGGCAGGCAGTCAGGCTTAACACGGGAGCAAAAACTGGAAGAAAGTATCGACAGACAAGCATGAACCTACGGAGAGGCACAGAGCAGAGCTGCCATTAGGGGAGGAAGGAGCTGAAGCTGCACACGCTCTGGCCAGGGAGATGCGGGACTGGGAGGGCAGGCGCGGGGAGAAGCCAGGGCTGCTGAGAAGAGGGGAAAGGGGAGAGGTAGGAGCCAAGACCGGGGCAGTGGGTGCTCTCCAAGGTGGAAATGGTGGAACCCCAGAGCCTGTGTGGACTTGGAGCCCCTGGAGAAGGAGAGGAGGACCGTGGCTGGCAGGCTGCTGGGCACCATCAGGAGCCCTCTGGGGGAAGCAGCCTGGTGACAGGGATCACTCTGGGCTTGGACTCCGAGCCCTTGTCTGTTGGTCTGCTTAAATATCTGAAACTTGGCGCGCTCCTTATAGAAATGAAGGTACAGCCACTAGCTCCACTGACCTCAGGGCGGCCGTGGGGCCAGGTGGTGCGATGGATGTGAAGGGACTTTTTACCTGTGAAGCTGCTTTGGACTTAGACATGGATTGACCTGTCTGGGAAATGGCTGATCTCCTTTCCGGCTTGTTCCCCAGGGTCTCCACAGAGTTGCGCTATCGGAAACAGCCCTGGGGGTTGGTGAAGACTTTCATCGAGAAGAACTTCTGGAGTGGGCTGGAAGACTACTTCCGCCACCTGGGTGAGCACGCAGTGTCCCGCTATCACCATTCAGGGGAACGAGAGAGGCTGACGGGGTCACAGGGCCCCTAAGTCTGCCCCAGAAGTGGATATAAAATTTTGACATGTATGTGGACATGTGCATTTTCCCAGAGACTGCGCCTGCAACTTTTATGAGATTATTGAGGGATCTATGACCCCCGCTCCCCAGCAGTGCACCTCAGATCTAGCCATGCTGGGGCTTAGTGCTGTGGAGAGGAGGTAGCCTGTGAATGCATCCATTAGGAAATGTGACGCGCCCTGAATTGTATACACGAGGATGCAGATGTCAGGAACTCACGTTTCCACACAGTGTTGAAAAACCCAGAGGAGGGTTTGGGCAGGGCTGGGTCCCTGCAGAACTTCCTGAGGCTCCAGGGCATCCCTGAGGAACCCTGCCCTTCCCATCCACACCCCAGAGAACTATGTAGAAATGCTGTCCTTAGAGAGGACCCAGCTGGGAGCAGACAGAGTTGCTCCTGGAGGCGGTGAGTTGGGTGGGAGGTGCGGGCAGGTCGCCCCTGACGCGGCCCCTTTGTCTCTGACAGAGAGCGAGCTGACCAAAATCGAGAGCAGCTACCTGGCGGAGATGCACAGACAGTCTCCCAAAGAGAAGGCCGGCAAGCCTCCCACGGTGCGGAGGAGGAAGCGTCCCCATGCCCACCTGCGGGTGCCCCACCTGGAAGAGGTGATGAGCCCCGTCACCACACCCACTGATGAAGATGTGGGCCACAGGATCAAGCAAGTGGCAGGTGTGTGCAGGTGGGGACGACTAGAGCTTCTCAGGGCTTCAGGCTGGAGGCACGCCTGTGCCAGTGTGAGCTCCTGCACATGGATTGTCTATAATTTGCACATAACTCATTAAATCTAAGCTCTGGATGTTCTTCCTATTTCCATTTGCCCTTTAACTTACTCAGCCTCTGCTGAACCCATATGTGCACTTTGCTGAACAGAAGTGGCCTTTGGGTTTATGCCTCCGAGCTGCGTAGGCTCCTATCCACCTGGATAGACTCAAGTATGCAGGTTCCAAGTTCTTGGGAATTGCACGTAGGAGAAGCCAGAGCTCAAACCCACAGAGATCAGGGAGTCCAAAGCAGGCCACCAAGGACCTGCCCTACCAGGTGGTGGGTTCCCTGGTATGTCTCCCTCTTCCCATCCAGCATGCACAACCTCATGTCTTTACTCAGTCATGGAAACCTGCAGCTAGAAGAGGCCTTAGGAACTAACCAATCCAGGGTTTTTCACGCTGTGCTTTGCACATACCTGAGCATCCCAGGGCAGATGGGGACAGGAGAGGAGGCAGGAGCAGAGCAGGAGAGGGCCAGCTCGTGTCTTCCCCCAGCTCCCACCAGAGTACACCTAGGTTGTATGTTGCACACAGGATTGCTGACTAGCATCGCATCTGCGTAAGCCACTCGCAGAGAGCTTATGTGGCATGCTCAGCGCCATGTGGCCGGTATGGAGAAGGCCAGAGCTGAGCGCTGTCTCTAGCCCTCACAGAGTGCTGTTTCCTGCCACAGCTGCAGATCACGTGCCCTGCACCTGATGTCCTAGCTGTGTAGGTCTGTTGATTTCCTTTTTTGTTCAGTGACTCTTAATATTCATTTTGCCTGACCCAACCCATGCCCTTGCCCTTGAGGATCTTCCCTTTACTTGTGGAAGGCAGGGTGTAGCATTGTTGCCATGGCAGCACATGGACAGTTCTCTGCCACTCCCTGAAGCTCTGTGCATGACCCGTGTCACATCATCTGTTGGTGGACTTGTGGGCCACGATGGTAATGGCCTCTTTTTTTCCCTACAGGTTCCACGCAGACACGGCATATCCCCGAGGACACCCCCAACGGTTTCCACCTGCAGAGTGTGTCCAAGCTGCTGCTGGTGATCAGCTGTGTGTAAGGGATTCCAGGCTCTCCTCCCACCTGCCCCACTGCCCCCCTTCCTGCTGCTGCTTCCTCCCGGGCCCCTCAGCTGTATGAGGCCCTTACTGTTGTCCTGGGTTTTATATTGCTTGTCCTCTAGTCTTCTCTCTTTGGGTCAGTTGCTCTTTCTGTCATTTCTTGCCTCTGCTTTCTTTCCTGTGTTTTATTCAGCAGTGATTCTGTGCTGTGCCTCCAGGAGG